GACGAACCATATAGTGCTCAGCGTGGTACATGCGTTTGTGAACAAAAGGAATGTGTTGATTTGGACTCACATTGGCTTAACCAATGAAGGTGGTGTCTGAGAAGGAGCTCCAATAATTACTTCGAGGACGATGTACCTGATATCGAGGGCTTAGCAGTAGTGTTTTGCTTGAAACGGCGAGTTGAGAAGTTATATCAAGTTGACTCTACCAGGTGGCTCTTTGTTGCGTCCAGCACTTGGGAAGTTGGCCTGTGTGATTCATTTGTAGAATCCCGCTGTAAACGGCAAATGCTCTATGGCACGCCAAGTCCCGGGACTCGAAAGCTTCACCATAGCGCGAAAGTGAGGCTCAAATGTTGCCACATCATGTGCCACATGCTGTTCCTAGCTTTGTACATGTATGAAAAGAGTGACCGCGATGCAATTGCTGTATATATGGTCGCTTTTCAAAAAGTGTCAAGCTGGTGATATGTGTTTATAGAATATACACATGCCTCATCTGATTGGTCACATTTGCAATCAATGCCATTACATAGCACAAAGACCATCAACGTCATATATCTAATACGGGTCCATGTACTGGTACCTGATTGAATCGGAGAATATCTAGATAAAAGTGCAGTCAGTAGTGTGAGGAGGCCAGGACCCATTGAAGGCCTGAACGAAGTATACGTACCATACTCACTCTTGGGTGATTATAACAATAGACTAAAATAACACTAATTGTGCTTTTGGACGTTACCGCCAGATTATTCACTCAGGGCATCCAATCAGCTGATATCCGCGCATTTGTAGGGATAAAATACTATTGCCTGTTTCCATGACAGAGATCAGAGCAAGACGAAATTCCATGTTAGCCTTGGCATCGATGGACACATGGGCCAGCACAAATGGAACTGTGTTTCGGAATGCTTGCCCGATCACAACGACTCATGCTAGACGAGGTACATGTGTACAATGCTTTCCAGGAGTGGAAATTATAATCCTTATTGTGCAGTACATATTGTCAGAATATTCATCCTGCGTCTGCGTTTCCGTATACAAGACGAAGTTATACGTGTATGGCGATGTTACGCTGCTTTGTATTCATGAGTGTCGAATTTGCAAAATTGTGAAAGGACAACGGGGATTTCAATATGAAGTCACTAAGTTGGTCTGTATGAGATATGGACCTGCTTTGACACAGGACCAACTCCACATACATGTTTCCCCAAATTCACAATCGGTGCAGATGTTCCCACTCATCATCATCACAGGCGTGCACTTTGTTCAGGTAGGAGGCTAGCAGAGAGCAGACAGTGGTCTCTCCCAAGTCCTGGAGACCATCAGCTCCCCCACGCTCCCCCACGGACAATTCTGACAACTGGATTGCCGCTCCCATAGTACAACGCTAGCTGGACATCTAATTCATAGCGCTTGGTTTTCGACAAGTTGCAGGCGGAAGAATATCAAAATGCCGCCTTCGGTGGGCTGCATGATGGGGACCTTATTTCACAACACTCCTGCCCAGCCTCTTTGCCCAGCTTGTGCTGAGCTTGGGCTCCTGCGCTCGGTTACTGGCGGCCTAGTCTGGGCGTTCGGGGCCTGGAGGGCCCCCTGTTTCCCTTTAGTAGACGGGTTTACGTTGCGTTGACTAAAGCGATCTCGGCGCGCTTTTAGCCTTGTTCTTGCTCGGCTTATTGGACTTTGTTTATCTGGGCTGGCGGGGTGGCTCCCCGCAGTCCACTGATTGCTACAATAAGCGGGGTACGGGAACGTACCACTCGCAAGTCACTATCCTCGAACTCGTTACATAGCATATGCAGCCATGATAAACCAAATAGGCTAAGAGAACGTCAAAATGTTGTGGGAAGAAAAGACAAGACGCAGCCAAGCAAAAGGCTTGCAGTCTCGCCGACAATTCGCCTCTGCAGCGGGCGGCTCTGCGTCTGCATATTTTCTTTTATTTGTATCGTTATATAAGTCTTGATTCTGCATTTCTCGCAGCCCTGTTTGATCCGTCTACACATCCGCCTTGCCTTTCTACTCAACAGAATCATATCGCGGCTTTGCCCCTTCAGGCGGGCCTATTCAGCAACGGCGCTCGTCCCCGCATCACGACGCTTTCTACTTAGCTGCTCGTTTACCACTCGTCCAGCCAAGCAAGCTGTCGACCACGATTGTTGAAACTTGTCAACTCAGGTTTTATACCCTCGTCAGCAGTCTATTCAAATACTTCATCTGTCTTGGGAGCCTTGACCAAGACATTGTCTCCACCATGAAGGAAGGCGGTTCGCTAGAGGCACCCGAGGCCTGGCCCAAGATGAAGGACGAGGAGGTTGGCGAAGTCGCCTCAACTGAAGGCACCCAGAATTTGATTTCCGCCCAGGACCAGCTTCAGCGTGGCCTCAAGAGTCGACACATTCAGTTCCTGGCGCTGGGTGGCGCGTGAGTTGCATCAGACTTGAACATTTCTGGCCATGTTATTTGCACACTGCAATACGCTATGGCACTGTCTTGCGCATTAGACTAACACCATTTGCTTCATTGCCAACAGCATCGGCACGGGTCTGTTCGTGGGCTCTGGAGCCATTCTGTCAACTGGCGGGCCTCTGGCCTTGCTGCTCGGCTACCTCTTCATGATGGCCATCGTGTGTATCATTATGAATGACCTCGCCGAAATCGTCGTCTACCTACCTCTCAAGGGTGCCACGATCCCCTACTTTGTCGAGCGCTTCGTCGACCCTAGTTTGGCTTTCGCAGCTGGCTGGAACTACTGGTACGCTTACGCCATTCTCGTCGCCGGCGAAGCCTCAGCAGGCGCCATCGTCCTCGACTACTGGTCCACTCCCGTGCCAACCGCCGTCTGGATCGCAATCATTCTCGGTGTGAACCTGTGCCTCAACATCTTTGCTGTCCGCATCTTTGGCGAGGCCGAGTTCTGGTTCGCCTCCATCAAGCTCATCACCATCCTCGACCTCATTCTCGTCGGCCTGGTCATCATGTGCGGCGGCGCCCCCGACCACACCGCCATCGGCTTCTGGAATTGGCAGCAGCACGGTCCCATTAAAGAATACCTCGTAAGCGGAAACACTGGGCGTTTCCTAGCGTTTTGGTACGCCTTCGTTAAGGCAGGTTTCGCCTTCATCGTCTCGCCCGAACTCGTCGCCCTCACAGCAGGCGAAGCCGTCGCACCCCGGCGCAACATCCCCAAGGCAGCCGGCCGCTTTGTTTACCGTCTCGCCGTTTTCTACGGCCTCGGTTCCTTCATGATTGGCACCATCTGCCCCTCAGACAACGACAGCCTGCTCTCGGGCGCGTCCAATGCCGCCGCCAGCCCTTGGGTCATTGGTATTTCCCTTGCCAAGATCCAGGTCCTCAACCACATCATCAACGCCGCCATCTTGACCTCCGCCTGGTCGGCGGGTAACGCGTTCTTGTACTCGGGCGCGCGTATACTCTACAGTCTGTCGCTGAACAAGCAGGCCCCTAAAATCTTCTCCCGCACAGGCAAGCTCGGCGTGCCCTACATGGCCGTCCTAGCCACCTGGTCTATCGGCCTGCTAGCCTTCTTGAGTGTCAGCGCGTCCAGCGAAGTGGCATTCAACTGGTTCGTCGACATCTCGACCATCTCGGGTCTCATTGCATGGATTGTGGTGGGCTTCACCTACCTGCGCTTCCGCAAGGCCATGCAGTTCAACAACCTTCTGCAGACAATACCTTACAAAACCCGCTTTCAGCCGTACGCGACGTACGCTACAGTATTTATCCTGGTGGTGCTCACTGTGACAAACGGATTTGCCGTCTTCTTTCCAGATAATTGGAACGCGGCGGATTTCGTGGCGGCGTACATCACGTTCCCTATCTTTATGGCGCTGTACTTGGGCCACAAGATGTGGTTCCGCACGCGCTGGGCTATCAAGACGGAGCATATCGATGTGATTACCGGTGTGAGGGAGATGGATGCGCTTGAGGCGGAGGATGTACCGCCGGTGGCGAAGAACTGGGTCGAGAAGGTCTGGTTCTGGCTGGCTTGAGCTGCGCTTTTGTTGTTTGGCTTTTTGTTTGAAACTGTTTTTGTTGTTGTTACCTTTCTTTGGGTGTTTTTTTGTAATAAAAAATTCACCTCGATCAAAAAATGATATTGGTCAAATCAATGTGCTTGTTGAATGCACCATGACAAATTTTCGAAGATTATGAAATATTCTCCGATCTGCTTTTAACTCGACTCTTTGATTGATGGCTTGTCGCTGCCGCAGATCCATGAATCGTGTCGCAACATGGACGAAGATTGGAACGACCGGCGAGGCTCATTGCTGTCAAGAAGAAGATATCAATCCAGTCCCATTCTAGACTTTAAAGAATCTTGTCCTCTCAGAATCAGCAAGATTTTCACATCTTACATCAAACCAGTCTGCCATTGTACTGGAAGCAATTTCTGCGTTATCCGAGACTTTGATCTCCGGCCTCTGATGCTACCGTCAATGGGCCCAAATTTGGGTGTTATATCGACGCTTGTTTCAATACCATCAAGCAAACCTTTCTTTTCTTTTCTTTCTTTCCCTTTTTTTTTTTTTTTTTTTTTTTGCATACCGAAACTTTATCCGCCATGGCCTCTGAGTTCGAAACAGGAGAGCAAGAAAGTAGAAGCAAAAGCCAAGCGAAGCAAGCCAAGCGATGAGAGTCAAAGTCGCAAGATAGATCCAAACATGATTCAGCTCCAGGGTTTTGGAATGAACGTGTGAGAAATCAATTAGAGTAGCCGTGGTGCAACTCTTCGGTTTGGAACGACCAACAGAGAAGTGAAAATCCAAATTCAGAGCAGGAGATGAAGAAAAATTTCGAAAAGAAACAATACTTTGATCTTGAGCGAAGCTGAGGGTTGGCAGGTAGGTAAGTAGGTTTCTTGTCTCGAACAGTCGCTCTTTCTTCCGCAACAATGAATTTGGAATAATCCGACGCCGTTTTCTCATCAAGATTCGTACAATATAATAGATATGTACTGATGTAATTGATAAGTCGGTCCTTTGGCGCAATGGTAGCGCGTTACTTTCCGGTTCACTGGTTAACATTGGTAAAGGTTCACGGTTCGAGTCCGTGGAGGATCGCATTGTTTTGTATTTTTGTCTTCCTGCGTGGCTGCTTTCAACGTGCCCTAATGTTTTTCTCTTTTGATTGAGTTCTTCAAATTCTACTGTCTTTACCGTCAGCAAGAAAGTTACAAAACATGTGGATATTTGGAAGACGGATTTCGTTCCAAGTTATCTAAGAAATAATTAGGAAGGGACATTGGTGCATCAAGGGTAAAGCATATAACGAATTCTGATGGACAAAATTGCAACACAGTCAATGGTGCCAAAGCATATACACCCCAAGTATCATTCATATTTACACATAAAGTCACCAGCTCATGGCTATGTACTCAACACCGGTCATCACCCGGAATACCTCCTACATACAGCTATGGTCTATTTCTTAGCATCAAGGGCTGTCCAACCAGTAAATATAGAAAAGCCGGTCTCATGTAGTCAGTCCGAAAACCGATCCCTCGTCATCTTGTATTGCTGCTCCCGCAAATCCGCCCAGTCCCTCAATTCCTGCTCTTCATCCTGCGACGTCATTGAGTCTCCATTCTGCGCGAGCGCACTTGGTGTGACACCTGTACCCGTCTTCTCCAATCGCGTCAGGATATCCAGGAACGCTTTTAGGTATTCCTCATTGCGCAGCTCGTACTGGCCCTTGCGATCTGGCCGATCGCTCAACAGCGTGCATGCGACTTGGCGGATCTTGCTAATAAGCGATCCGCCATTGGGCTCCATGTTACACTGGTCAATGGATCCCAATACGCTGAAGAGGGTCTGCACCACTTCTTCGCGCTCTGTCAGAAACATGTCGTCGATGCTATCGTTGGCTTGCTCGGCAGCGGCCTGAATAGCTGCAGCTGCGAGAGATGACGACGAGAATTCGGCTGCGGTGCGGTACACGATGCTCCCAGAGGCATCGGCTTGGGCTTTTGCGCGCTGATTTGCAAGGTAGACGTCGCGCAGGGATAGGTAGCGTTCGACATAGTGAGAGCGGGTGCCGAGAAGGGAAGCGTAAATGTTGGCCTTTTGAATTTCATATTGTACCTCGCGCTTCTTGGACTCGTCCTGTGCAAACAAGTGTCTAACATCATTGGTCGGCTGGTTGTTCGGATAAGCGGCTGGGACATAGCGATATGGAGAGGTGCTGGAGCCGTCCTGGCCGGCCTGGGGGTATTCGTATTTACTGAGACCCACGTGCCGTGAGGTGTCAATTTTCAGTTCTGGTGGAAGGGTTTCGGCGACTTCTTTGACTTTGAGAAGTGCGGCGTGCAGGTATTGCTTTTGTTGGTCCCATGTATAAGCCGCCATACCATGTGACAACTCGATTCGCACGATGTCGTCCATTGTTCGATAAATCTGCGCGCATTTCACAAAGCCGGTAAGTTTGGACACGGTGCCTTCGGGCTGTGGAAGAATGCGGTCGGCGAGAATATAGGCATCGTCGACTTCACGGGGAAAGTCTGGGTAGGAAGTGTTAGGAGTAGCTGGTGGAATAATGAGATCGCGGGCCGACGATCCCATCTGGGTCATTGATCTATGATGTTGTCAGCATCAAGTAACCATCAAGGAATACAAGTTAATGCTCACCGGACACCCAGGAATATACACCAGAATATTCGCTTGCCAATCTCGTCGCTTATAAAATCGTTGGACTGATCTTCCTGTCGCTCAGAGGTCAAAGAGAGTATTGTAGGTGGCGGTCTCCTTCGATGAAATCCCATTTCACGCAAAAACCGCAAGGACTCTCCCATGAACCGACGGCATTGATTCCAACGCATTGTGTACCCAGCGCCAAGACAGAGAAAATAGCTGACAGCAGCATCATTGACACTGAGGACGTCCTTGAGCATGAGATCTGCAGGACGCATAGCAAGGGCAACCTTTACGCATCGGTCAACCAGCATGATGGCTCTCGGAAACTTGTCGTAGCTATGCGAAGCCTTGAGATGGAGTCGTGCGGATCGTGGAAAAGATGCCACGAGACCTCCTATCATGCTGGCCAAGAGAGCTAGGAATTCTGGATTCGTTCTGTCCTCACGGTTTCGAAACGCCTCTCGGAATGTTGGTTCGTGGGGGAACGGCGTCAGTGGGTGGATGTAGGTGAAGAAGTCGTCGACCAGGAGTTCAAGGACGCCCAAGGGCGCGATGCACTGCTCTGCGTCCATAACGATTTGCCCGTGGGGGCTGCCCAGAGAAACAAGTGCCTGAGGAGCATTCCGCAACGGCGGCATTGGCACATTCGACGCCTCGGTTCCGACTTTCCTTCTCTTCTCAGCTTCTCGTGCAGCTTCAGCAGCTCGATTGGGAGGACCTCTTCGCTTCTTGACACGGTCGTAGGTGCAGGCAACGTTTAGCTCGCGACAAGGTCGGCAAGGCGGCGGGCCTCCTTCACACTTGGGAGACAAAACCGTCAGTATAGGCTCACCAGCCGGATGATTCGCACGGTCGATCTCACCTACCTTCACTTTTCTCTGGCTACACAAGTCACAGGCCCGTGGTATTCTGGTGTTCTTCTTATTGGGCGGAGGCGACGCAGGTTCCGAAGTGGACAGCGCGTGGGAGCTTGTGGGCGTTGTTGCGCCATGGCTGCCGTTGGAGGGGTAGTGGATGGGCGACAAATCTTGGTGGTGGTGGTGAGAATGATGTTGGTGAGGAGGAGGCAGGTGATGCTGTGGAAGTTGCTGATGCTGCTGCTGATGCTGCGGATGCTGGCCATGATGTTCTGGAGAACTCTGATAAAGCGGCGCATTCAGCCTGCTGGTCGGCGAGAGTGTATATGGCCCTCTATGGGCAGGGCCATGTATACTGCTGCTGCTGCCGTTGCTATTGCCATTGCCATTGCCATTGCTGCTGCCCGTGACGCTGAGCTGCTGAGGCGTAGGCAGGCCGCTGTGAGGGTAGGCCGAGGGCGGAATATGGTTCGAAGGCGCTGTAGAGGTGCTGTAGTGGAATGGCGAAGGCGCAGGGCTGGTGTTGAGCAGCTGGGGCAGCTTGGGAACGCTGGTGGTGGTGGCCGTGCTGGTGGGCAAAGTCGTCGAAGAGGAGGAGCGGTGGGCCGGCCCTTGGCTGTCGTGGAAGCCAGACATGATGGGCAGCAAGCCTTAATAACCTTAATTATTTATCTATTATTATTATGATCCAATTCGTTCCGCACCGGGTCACACCTCGAGTTGATCCGGGGATTGGGGGGCAGGCCTAGGCCGGGGGCTGTCGCAGCGGAGAAGCAGGCAAAATGTCGGTGATTGTCCGGGAGAAGTGCGGCAGAATCAACCCAGGACGAAGGGCAAGGCGGCACCTGCCACCTTGATCAAATTGACGTGGGATGCGGTGGTCGGAGCGGGTTGTTGCGGGGCTAGCTGCCCTGCAGGTGCATGTGCAGCTGCACCTGGGTTGACCTGTCGTGGTGCCTCCCTTGCCCCTTGCTGCGCCGTCAGGGTGAGTCAGCAGTGTCTGTGCTGAGCTGCCCCAAACAGGTATAGCGCCGCCACCGCCCTTGATTGATAGGCTGATAGGGCAGATATGCAATGTGTGACATGTGAACGCAGCATATCAGACGTCTGACAAGCCTTGAACGTGAACGACTTTCGTTCTGTCTCAACGATCCGTGCCCATGGCATGTGCAGAGGATGTCCTCGCGCATGATGAGTAATGCAGTAGCGTTCCAAGGCTCAGCTTCTCATCTTCTAGCAGCTCGATCGTATCGGTTCACCAGTGTTCGTTTGTGCATGGTCATCTTGGCTGTACGCCTGCCACGAATCTTGGCTGATGGTTCTCTTGCGCAGCACGATTCGCTAAAGCACTGTTGAACAACTGCAGAAGCTGGAAGATGAAGCGAGACAACCCTAGAATGACCAGAGGCGAGTGAGCTTCATGTACCAGTCCGTTTCTGGTAGTCGCCAGCCTCGTCTCAGTCTTGTCTACCATCCAGAGTCACCATACATCTAATCTTGGCCAGATGTAGGCAATTTTGTCAACTCTTGCTTTCCATCTGAACGTGCACGTGCTGTCAAGAACAAACCATGCGACACCAGGTGATCGGGTTTTATGCTTGAGTCTGGCGGCCGCTGCTCATTGATTTGGCGTAGCAGATGGTTGAAATTCCTCGTCAATTTCCCGACTTAGACACGAAACCCGTCGCGTCCTTGTCCAACGCGCTCGGCGCAAACAGGTGACAAAATCGATGTTCCTATCTCAAACCAAAGATTTCAAACATGTCGCTCTCGCTCCGCAGTCCGCAACGTCTTTCCATTCCATCTCTGCTCTCCTCTCGGCCTATATGGCTCTGTTGTAGCCTCGCTATGCAACAGTCCATCCACACATCCTTCCAGTTCCTTTTCACACATCTTCTGGGGGTTGTCCTTTTGTCTACCAGCACGAAACCACAGATACAATGGAAGATTCACAGCCTCGCACAGGCCTAAGCTCGTTCCTTGGAGGCTGCTTTGGCAGTCAAGACCGCGAATACGTCACCCTAGGCGACTCAAAGGGTCCAAGTCCGCGCCAGAAGAGGATGGATAGGCTCAGAACAATGCTCCTAGCCCTTCTTCCTGCTCCTATCGCCTCTCGTCTTGGCCATCACATCTACAGCTATGAGACGGACAGCACTACCTACCTGAACGGTGTGCGCGGTGTGGCCGCTGTGACAGTCATGTTTCAGCACATCAGCGCGCAATACTACGACCTCATCTACTGGGCCCACGGCAGCCGCGAAGAAGACACGGCTTTCATCCAGCTGCCTTTTGTCCGCCTCCTTGTTTCGGGCCAGTTCGCGGTCCATCTCTTCTTCGTCCTCAGCGGCTTCGTCCTCTCACACGACCCGCTCAGGCGGGCCTATGAGGGCCAGTACGACAGCGTTCTCATCAGTCTGCCGTCCAAGATCCTCCGACGACCCTTGCGCCTCTTTTTACCTCTTTGGCCCGTCATTGTGGTGTGCTGCGTCCTCATCGAAGCCGGCTGGTTCCCAACTCCGCCCACCGGCAACCTGTGGGCGCAGCTCGTCGAGGGCTGGCGTCTGTATCTCTTCT